GTCCAGTGATTATATTTGTCATTGGTAATTTAATTTTAATTCATTTAAAATTAAATCTATAACAATTTTAGATTGTGGGAATGGACTGGAATAAGCTAAGTCGTCTATTAAGCTTTGTTAGGTTCCACGCTATTGCAAGGGTAACGTATCAGCAGATAAATTTGCAAGATGTGGATCCAAGTCAATCGATTTGGAGGTCGAAAACTCGTTAAAGCCCCCATTGTTCCACTTCTTCAGAGTTATATATATTATTACTGTAATTACTCCTGATTTGCAATATTTCTAAAATTCAGGCCCCATTATCCAACTTTATTAATCTAATTTCAGTTTCATAGAGGAGTTAAACCCTCGCAAAAATTGTTCAATGTAACTCCTCCTTTTTTGGTGTAAACCTCATGCAATAGTACCTCTAATTACTGGTTCTGCTGATTTCTCTGATTCCTTTTTTAAACAAGACAGTTGTAATTTGACATTTTAAGTTCTCTGTGAGCAGAATTGCTTCTCGTTTTTTCCTATTTTAAAGGTTTCCACAATCTCTGTTACTAGGTATTCCAGATTCTTTGTGGGTAGACAATTCGTTTCAAAAATATTCAATATTAATATACAGGGTGAGATAAAAAACTGCAACAAAGTCAAACGCCATAATTTTTACATTTTTTTAATTGTATTAAATGAAAGCAAAAAATGTCTGAAATAGCATAAAATTTTAAAATAAGTTTAGATTTGTTCGAGTTGGTCACCTTTGGCACGAATTATGGCCTTCAAACGGCCAATGAAACCGTTACACGCTGCCCGAATATTGCTCTGCGGTATTTTGCTTGAGGTGATCGACACTTTGGTATTTTTTATTGTCAACCTTGCTGTCCAAAATATCCGGAGATATTGGTGTCTGCGGCCAAAATGTTTGCGTGCTCAAGGCTTTAATACACCCTCCAGAATATTTTCGCGATAATATTCGGCATTTATTCTGATGCCACGGTCGATTAATACGAGCGGGGGGTCGCTCCCGGCGGCCCACACCATTACCATGGCCGGCGCTTGAGTTTTGGAGGCCAACCGAAGGTACACATTTTCAGTTGACTTCTTTCGCAAGTAAACACGATCATTTTTGTATATTTACAAACTGCTGGGCAACGAAAATTTTCTCATCGGAGAAAACCAAATTCGGCATTTCACCACTTTCGGCTAAGCGAAGCAAACCTTTAGCTCTTTTGAGTCCATTTTCTTTCTTTTGCGGTTTAAGATCTTGCACTTTTTTTTGAATATCAATGGCTTTACACCGAGCTCATTTTTCAATATTTGCGAATGGAATATTGCGATATGTTCAGCTCACGAGCCATTTTTCGGCCACTGCTACGCGGGTTTCGATCAAATTGCTTCTTTACTTTTCGAACCATTGCTGCTGATGTTGTTGTTTTCTTCCGTCCACTTCCTTGACGTCGGGCTACGCTACCAGTTTCACGGTAACGAGCGATTGTACGAGACACACAAGATTTATTCACATTTAAACGCTGGAGCCCTCTAACGATAGCCACTTGTGGTTTTCCAGCCAAATATAAAGAAATCACACTATTACGCTTGAATTCCATCACGGATAACTTTTTTTCTGGACAATTCTCACTAAAATGCTTGTAAACAATATAAGCAGCTGTCACTGGAATAATTTTAACAGCTGTCGGACGAGTGGCTTAGAAATGACAGCAGTCTGAACTTGGTTGCAGTTTTTTTCATCTCACCCTGTAAACCCCAAAATTTAGAGGTTTTGAGACCATAGGCCAAGTTTTCATGTTGTGAATGGTATAAAAAAGTCAAAGCTTTTCAAAAAAAAAAATTGAACCCGTTTTTATAAATACACTCTCAGCTGGAGAACCTTTAACTCGTTTGTTGACATTGCGACAGATGGTATCAATTGGCAAACTCGCTGGGAATGCTAAGAATTCTGTAGTTATATTTCCTCTAAATACGTGTTAACAAATCGTAAACTATAACACATACAGCTATTTGGAAATCGGAGGCGAACTTTTCATCACCATATAATTGACTTTTTATTTAATAAAAAGGGGATGTAAGAGATTTAATAAATTAACTAACAAATTGACGCAGTAGCCAGGAAATTTTATAATCTTTTCTACACACATCCAAATACATAGTGATTTTATTAATAATCATTTGGTTGTCGATATTAAACACATTTGGTTGTCGATATTAAACACATTCATCCTTTCCCATCTCTCCCTGAACAGCATGCTGCGTGAGCATGTTTACAAATGTTGTTATTTCCCTTGAGACAACATGGAGAGTTTATTTGTTCAAGGATATGATGTTGTGCGGCACTAAGTATGTTAGGTAGTTTTTCGATAATGGGTGAATTGGTTGTGATGGTAAAAGACCGCCACTTGAACAAATTACGGACATGTGTCGAATGGTTGTTTTGGGTAGGTAAGGCGCATTTAGAGTCTTTATGGCAAAACGTTTCCTTCTTTAAACTTTGTTTCCCAATATAGATTAATTATAGTCTAATTTTCACTTTATTATCATGGCTATGGATACAGTTTTAGGTTTCTATAATTCTAAGCTATTGCTGCAGATAAGCTATTCTATCGTTTCAATTTGTTTTCATGTGTTGTATTTTTTTTGTTCTCGCCAATGTGACACACATACGCACATTGGAATATGTAAATTACATTTACAAGGCGAAGCTAAAGTCATGGAAATGTTTACCCCTTTTGAAGTCGCTAAATTCTGTTGTGACATTAAATTTGCATTAATTTACATATAAATCCAATAAAGATTTGTCAACTGCATTAGCTGTCAAGGAATTTGTCATCTTTATCTCATCTCCGGAGATGAATATTGTTGGATTAAATGTTTTTGTTATGGCGGATGCACCAGATGAACTTTTCCCATATATCTCATTAGCACACACCGTTTTCCAGAATATTTTTTTTATTTATGGTCCTTTACAATTATAACCGTGATCAAAGAAAAAGTGACCCAACTGTTGACGTTCCTCTTGAATATTTATTACTAAAAGCCTGATTTTATTACGGTCATTTATATCCTAGTGCACCCATGGTTTTGGTTATTTGACTTTGTTCAAGGTTATATAAAATGAAAATTGTTCTGAAAAATCAAACGACTTTGGCAAGACGTGGGCCCAGTCAACCGACTTTGAGATGCGACTTTGTACCACTTCCTTCGAGTGATATACGAGCATTGCTCCGGAAGATTTCAACAAAACTGGTTTCGAAGAAAATTATTAAGGATGAAACAAAGGACCAGCAGTTCTCCGAGTAGAGCAGTTGACAATTTCGTGTCCTTTGACCTAACCCAAATATACATTTAAGCCAAATCGATTGTTAAATGTCGAATTGTACGAATTACGTTAACCATGAGTTTTTTTATATGCATGGAAGCATGGATATTCAAAATTTACTGCGAAGAGTTATTCAACCTAAAATATAAAACCAAAACGATTAGACCCTCGAAATAGTTCAAATCAGAGGTTGCCGTCAAATGCAGTCACATCGGGTTTCTCCGTGGGAAATTCTGTCTATATTTTTTGTTAGAATTGACCAATAGATTTTAAGAAAATATCAATGTATGTAATTTCGTCTTCATTACTTTCTACATATGTAAAAAGCCCTGTCTGAGACCTTTCACATACAAAGTAGCCCGCTTTGTAATTTTGCTAAGGACTATCGACAATTTTTATACCCGACACCACATAAGTAAAGTTATTATGTCTTTGTGCATTTGTTTGTAACATGGAGAAGGAAGCGAGATAGACAAATAGTTATTTTTGACGATCTTTATAGAATCACTTTCTGGGTCGATTCATGCATGTCAGTCCACAAAATGCAGTTCGCATTTATTATCAGATTGAGATGAAATTTTCCAAACAATATTTGTTTGGCCCAAGGACGAACCCTCTTGAAATTGGTGATAGTCGGATCAGATTTAGATATAGCTCCCATATATCTTTCGCGTTAATTGTGCACCAAATTGCCAATATATGTCCAAATGACCTGAATTTCGGCACATCGATAGTGAGTGCGATAGTGCTGAGTCCTGTTGGAATGCCCAAGGTCTGCGGCCAAAATGTTTGCGTGCCCAAGGCCTTCATATACCCTGCAGAAAATTTTCGCGATAATATTCGGCATTTATTCTGATGCCACGGTCGATTAATACGAGCGTAGAGCGACCATCGGCTGTTATGGCGGCCCACACCATCACCATGGCCGGTGCTTGAGTTCTGGTGGCCAACCGAAGGTGCATATTTTCAGCTGACCTCGTTGGCAAGTAAACACGATCATTTTGTTTTTTACAAACTGCTGGACAACGAATGTTTTCTTATCGGAGAAACCCAAATTCGGCAGTTCACCACTTTCGGCTAAGCGAAGCAAATCTTTAGCTCTTTTGAGTCTATTTTCTTTCTGTTGCGCTGTAAGTTCTTGCACTTTTTGGAATTTCAGTGACTTTACCCCGAGCTCATTTTTCAATATTTGCCGAATGGAATATTGCGATATGTTCAGCTCACGAGACATTTTTCGGCCCCTGCGATGCGGGTTTCGATCAAGTCGCTTCTTTACTTTTTGAACCATTTCTGCGGATGGTGCGGTTTTCTTCCGTCCACTTTCTTGACGTCGGGCTACGCTACCAGTATCGATGGTAGCGAGCGATAGTAGCGAGCGATGGTACGAGACACCAAAGATTTATTCACATTTAAATGCTGGAGTGCTCTAACCATAGCCACTTGTGGTTTTCCAGCCAAATATAAAGAAATCACACTATCACGCTTGAATTCCATCACGAATAACTTTTTTTCTGTACGCTTTTACACAATATAACGAGCTGTCACTGGCATAATTTTAACAGCTGTCGGATGAGTGGCTTAGAAATGACAGCAGACTGAAATTGGTTGCAGTTTTTCATCTCACCCTGTGTATAAAAATCATCTTTTTTCCTGTACCAATCTAAATTTTGTTTATTTTTTTCAGGTCTCCAAGATGTGCGGATCAGAAATCAAAGTAAGGTAGGAAAACGATCTATAAAATTGTTCTAAACTACAACAAATTATACCTACCAACATTTTTTTGTAATTCACAATTTACTTTACATTTTGGTCGAATATTACCAGAAAATGAAAATATCTTCCCTAGTTGCCACTGTTATGTGTATATGATTTTAAGCATACTTTTAGGCGCATGAATACAACCCTCCGCATACAATAATTCTGTGGGTGGTTGTGTGCGTATCCACAAAAAAATTCTTACGCCTGAATGCAATTGCTGTTACAAGAGAAAGTATGGAAGATAACGAAGACGACGAATAACAAACAAAATGGACTGAAAATTGGAAAAGTAGTTCATGCGTTTCATGGTTGAAAGGGATTATTATAACGTGTCGACGATTCCCTTTTTTCTGCTTCTTTAAACGCAGATTTTTTGAATATTCTTTTGAAGTTTTGCTGTTGTCAATGTCATACAGCAAGGTCCACAAAGTGGTTTGAACTGAAAACAGACAGTCGAGACGCATTTTCATGGGGATTTAGTGTGTGTGCAGTGCAAGCAAATGTGTGGGGATAAAGGTGTTCATTACCAGGAAGTTGTCTAGTCTTGTCATTTGTAGGTATTCTTTATTGGAGAAAGTATTTTGTTTGTTAAGATTTTATGCCAAGAATGGAAAATAATAAAAAATATGCGTCTACGTCTGGAATTGGTCAATTCTTGTTTTTATAATCCCCCCATTTCCAAGGAGTAATTGATACAAAATAAATCCAAATGACACAAATTATGGAGATTTCGAAAGACCAACAATAGTTGAAGCATAACACTTGTTGCTCCAATGACATTATTGTTGTTGTTGTTGTTGAATAAAATGGATACTGTCACATTAAACGGATTTGTTCTTTAATTGCAATCAACTGCACTGCACGTTTTGGACCTTTATTTCCCATGTTCCTACCCTCAATTGCACAAATTATCCTTCGTTAAGCCAACAACAACAATCCACAATCTCGCCCCAGTCCCTCATTTAGTTGTCTGCTGGTACTCATACACATGCGTTGATTGAATATTAAATGCCTGTGGTAAGCAAATTTGTTCCGATTCCCTCTGGGCTACTGAAGTATTTTGTTGTAATCTGATTGTCAGACAGACAGACAGGCACACATAATAAGGGATAAACAGAGAGACAGACAGACAAACAAAGCGAATGTAAATTCTGGCGGACCATATAAAAGCGAATTCAAAGAAGGGAAAGACAGTGATAATTGAGGCAACCATCATCAATGTTAGCGGAAATCTATCTCTTCGTGAGAGGGACACTTTTGGGGAGATTTATGGGAGTGAATTTAAGATTATTAAATGGGTCTCGTAACGAATGAAAATTGTGATTTCCGTCCAAAAAAAAGGAAAACAAGTAAAAACTTATCAGTCTATATGGCCGACAGATGTATACCTTCGATTATTTAAATATATTTTGACTTCTGTTGTGATTATTCATGTACCAGAAGAAATGGCCCGATCTCTACCATCTTTATAACAGACCCTGTATTGATATTAAGTTGGCAAGTTTGAATGGAATCGGATATTAATTTCGCGTTTTATGAGATTTTTAGATATTCAAAATTTTGACCGTTTGTTGTGGAGGTACCAGAAGGGGTGGACCGATAAACCCAATCTTCACACCAGATTTTGGGTTAATAAAAGTATTGTGATGTGTACAAGTTGAGGACATTCCGACTCTTATTTCACATTTTATGAGAGATATCATTATTCGAAATTTGGACCTTTTGTGGGGGAGGTACTTGTTGGACCCATATTGTCCATTTTTGCACCTGACCAAGCACTGATCCAAATATTAGAATTTGCAAAGTTCGAGCAAAATCGGATCATCCTTTCTCTTTTTGTGCAGTAAAATATTATATTTGATTATTTTGACCTTTTGTGGGGGAGGTACCAGAAGGAGTGGATCAATATTGCCAATCCGAACTCGATCTAAGTTAGAGAATAATTGGCAGAGCAGATAGATTGTCCCAAAAATAAGTGTAGAATGTCACAGTTTGTCAGATTTAACCATAGGTTCACCTTATCGGACAAATGACCTGACTTGACAATCCGTCATTCCGTCTTAATAACCTCTGAACGTCGTACCTACCTTAACCATGGAAAAGTTCACCAAGCAGAATTCATATAGTTCACTGACTTTAGCTTCAGAGAACTGCCCAACCCTTCTGATGTTCAGGTAGCAGAAAGAATTTTCCTATAAATCATCAAGTCTGCAGCCGCTCGCTATATGTCTGCTGGTCGAATATCCGTAATAAGATCAAATTTCCAAGCAGAGGCATCGGGAATACCAAGTGAGTGTGATGGTCTCCATTGTTCTAATCCTTCTGATCCCAGAATTAGTGAATTGACAGTGGAAGTTAACCGGTTGGTACAGGAGCATAACCGGAAGAAGTGGCTAGACCATCTAAAGTGTTGCAACATAGTAACCGATATGAATGAACTGTGGGTAATGGTAAAGTCACTCTTGAACCCTGGGGAAAAGAATGATAGGACAGCAGTCATCTTTAACGACGTAATGGTGTCTGATCCGAAGAGATGCGCTGGCCATTTTAAACGCCAATTTGTCGAGCACCCCGAGAGTGATAAGGCGATGCGAAAAGCACTACGTCGTATTAGATCTCTTATCTATGAGGGTGACACCACTACAGTTTACGAAATCGTTGAACCCGGACAGCTTCTCACTGATAATGTTGAAACAGCGGCATGAGGTGGCAGTGGAGTACCTGACTAAAGTACTCAAACTCTCGCTAGCGATGCAAATCGTTCGCGAAGCCAGAAAAATTGGTCGGGTGGCCCGCTGCAGAAACCAGGCAAGGATGCCAGCAAAAGCGAGTCATACAGGCAGATTTCGGATTTGTCACCAGTCCCTAAGGCTCTTGAGGATTTACTCCTCCACGGCATCGGAGAAAGCTATCAAGTTTCCAACCATCAATACGGATTCCGTATAGAACTACATTGTACGTCATATCTACATATATCAGTCAAGGATTAAACCAGAACAATGCGTGTCATAGAACGTTGTTGGCTTATCAAAGGCATTTGATACAGTCAACCAAGCCACGCTGTTTGAGGATGTCAAGGGATCTACCCTCCGGTCAAGTTTGTTGGATAATCAACTATATGTGTGGACACCAGTAGTACGTGGAATTTCGTAACAAAAAGTTCAAACTTTCTAGAGCGAAACAGGGAGTTCCCCAAGGCGGGTGGTATCTCTGGAACTGTTTAATGTTCTATAAGGATGTCTGTATGATCATGTCCTTGGGTCCTGTCGTCGATGACATATGTGTTAGGCTAAGTACCTATAACGCGGATCTTGTCGTTTTTTAGTAAAGGAATATAATAAAATTTCCGTCCCTACATCAACGGCTACACCCTACCAAAGGACTGCTGCTGAATATACAGGTTGAGGGACATAGAGTTTCGATCACTAACTACTACAAGATTCTACAGGTCAAATTCGACATCATGTTTAAATCGTAGACGTAAGCATCTTATAAAGCGATAAGTCGATCTGTGGTAAGCTATGCGTCTCCAGCGTGGATTGCGAATTCTAGTGCAACGCGATGGAAAAGTATGCAAACCTGTCAGAGTGCCACCTCGAGCACTGCAGGAGGGTGTGACTTTTCATGACTTCAGTGAACGATTAACATAGGGAGACGCATGCGTTTGTTGCAGTATTTGATTGGATGTTACCGTGGAAGTCATCGAAATCGTTATATGGTGGAAAGAACTCACCCATCCAGGAAAGAATTCACCCATTCACTGATGTTGTGAACCATTAACGTCTCGAATTGAAAAAGGGTTGATAACATTTTACTCAAATGTGTGTTTGGTCTTCAGGACTTTTGGTATTGAAAATGGGCTATAAAGGTCCACGTTTAGGTATAGCCCCCATATAACTGTACCTCCCTATATTCGGTATTTTGATGTTTTTAGCGACATTGTTCACCGGAAGGGCTTCAAATTTCGTTATGATAGTTCGTAATGGGGACTGTGACAGAAAATTGGCTTTGTAGGTTCACGTCTTTGTATAGCTCCATATAACGGTACTTCCGATTTCAGCGACATTATTCACTGGAAATGTTTCAAATTTTGTATTTGAAGTTCCTAATGAGAACTACAGCCTATGACAGAAAATTGTCTAAGCAGGTCTTCGTATAGTCCCTAACTATCGGTACCTATATTCGGTATTTTCATGATTTTAACTACATTATTCACTGGAATTGTTGAAATTTCGTATTTGCATTTCGTAATGTGTACTACAGCCTGTGACAGAAAATTTCAGGTCCACGTCTTCGTATAGACCCCAAAATAACGGTAACTAATTTTAAGATTTGGTTACATTCCGATGCAAACTTTTTCTTTGATTTTTTTTCTTTAATTTTACACTCCAAATCGATGTTTTCCATATCACTGAACTTCAATTAGCTCTGCATTTTGTTCTTCCTTCGTAATTATCCTCTCAATGACACAGTATTCTCCTATAATAAAAAAACAATGACTCGAAGTTGTCACATGGGCAACAGTTGATTAATGTCAGTTGCTTTTGGTGTAGCTTTCCTTAATCTATTCTAATGGACTCATTTAAATGCATAATTATAAGGGAGCAGGAACAGAAAACAACAACAGTTAGAGCTTTATGAAATGTGCGAATAAGCGATGACAACCGGAGATAACAGCGCATCAGCATTCAATTGTCTGTCAGTTTTGCTACCCTCAACCATCACTTCCCCTTGTTCTTTTTTTTATTTGGGATGTGAGAGACAAAGAAAATTGTCACACAAAGTAACCGGCAAAATACTAATGTTTATTCATGCGGTACAATCACACGCACACACATATATAGAACTGGAAATAAATGTTGAAACACATAGATAGGACATTATCATAAAGTTCAATTTTCTTCCTCCCCTCTTGTTTATTTGGTGCATTGTTGTTGTTGTTCTCAATTAATGACATTTTG